TCCACGACCAGGACGAAAACCACACTGCTCTTCCTGAATCTGAGATTCAACTATCCGACTGACCCTCCTCTCCAGGACCCCTGAATAGACCTTACCAGGGAGGCTCAGAAGTGTGATCCCCCTATAATTGGAACACACTCTGCGGTCCCCCTTTTTAAATAGGGGGACCACCACCCCAGTCTGCCAATCCAGGGGAACTGCCCCCGATGTCCATGCAATATTMTAGAGTCATGTCAACCAACGCAARCCCACAACATCCAGAGCCTTAAGGTGGAAATATAAGGGTAAATTCAAAATTTGTCAAAAATGGCCATTTAGACCCCAGACCTCAGAGGGTTAAGGAACTCTGGGCGAATCTCATCCACCCCCGGCYCCTTGACACCGAGGAGCTTTTTAACCACCTTGGTGACCTRGGCACCACAGATTGGAGAGTCCYACCCAGGGTCCTCAGGCTCTGCTTCCTCARGGGAAGACGTGTTGGTAGGATTGAGGAGGTCTTCGAAGTATTCTGTATTCTGTAAGTATTCTCCATTTTGTGTGTTTACATTAAATGAGTGGGTGTTATGAGGATGGGAACATGTCTCTCCTGGATSATCAAACAGGCCTGTTTGTCCACCATGTGGAGGCAGTGCTTATTAGGCTGAGTTCACCTGAAACTCATCAGACTGAAGAAGTCTCTTGGAGGAGAGATGAAACGTTTCACTAAAGATTCCATCCAGAGGACTAAACTTGATTTTTCTTTTTAACATTTCAAYTTGTTTCTGGAAATCATGGATGTTGTGTTCTCTGAGTGAAAGAGGAAAAGGACCATCAGGATMGTTATCTGAGCAAAGTTCAAAAGCCAGCCTCTCTGATGGTATGGGGGTGTGTTAGTGCCCTGGCATGGATAACTTTTATATCTYTGAAGGCACCTTTAATGCTGAAAGCTACATACAGGTTTTGGAGCAACATATGCTGCCATCCAAGCCATGTCTTTTTCAAGAACGTCCTGCTGATTTCAGCAAGACAATGCAATGCCAAGCCACATTCTGCACGCAATCCAACAGCAGGGCTTTATAGTAAAAGAGTGCGGGTACTAGACTGGCCTGCCTTCAGTCCAGACCTGTCTCCCATTGAAAATGTGTGGAGCATTATGAACAGTAAAATATGACAACAGAGACCCCAGATTGTTGAGCAGCTGAAGTTGTTCATCAAGCAAGAATGAGAAAGAATTCCACCTACAAACCTTCAACTGTGTCCTCAGTTCCCCAACACTTACTGAGTGCCGTTAAAAGGAAAAGTCATGTAAAACAATGGTAAACATACCTAAGTTCATGTTTGTGTTCTGCAGAAGCCTGTTAATCCCCAATTCATTCAAATCAGGGCTATTGGAGCAGAGGATCATGTAAAACATGGAGGCAAGTGGCTCTTGAGAAACGGGATGGCCTGCCCTTGTTCTAGTTTGTCGCTTTTCTCATCTGAACAACAAATGGTTGTATTTCTAACAAATGTCAGTCTCCTGATGAGCTGAATGTGCCAGTCTGTCAAAAMTTTAGTAAACCTTTGACTAAATCTACATTCAGCAGCTCTGGGAGACCATCATTTTTTGTTGAAACACAGATGTTGTTCAGTTGAGAAAACAAGGATTAGCTAAACAATGTCATGCAAAACTCCTCTGCACATTTCACAATTTATTGGCATGTGTAATTTTCAATGGTGTATTTAACAGTTTAATGATACATTTAAATAATTTATGGGAAAGTTAGATTAATTAATTTCGTGGACTATATAATTTAATTTTGACATCCCTAACCCTCCATTGGGTGTCACTTTTACTGTTGTTGGAGGCTGGACCCAAGAAGTGCAGACCAACATGTGGAGCATAAATAAAAAATGAACTTAAAAAAATCAAAAAGTTGTCAAGGCAGCTAAACTTACCAACAAAAACAAAGTTCAAATGAAGCTTAGATGCAAAAAGCAACAAAGAGGTGCCAAGAAGTACAGGGAGAACAAACAAACACAATACTCCACTGCTGAGAGAATGAAGGTTTGAAGGAAATAAGAACTGGAGCTGATGAGAGGAGTGGATGCAGCTATATCAGCAGCTGAGACATACTCAGCTCTACTGCTCATCACACAAACGCATYTTGGTTACAAAAGTGGCACCATTTAAAAGGGAAACAAACAGGCTTTCCAACAYTTACACCAAACAAATCATCTACCAAAGACAAATTTCCTAACTTTTATATCCTCCTGATAATACAGTATGTCTTTCGGTGTTTTTGTGCCATCCCAAGATTAGCAGTGCCCCACCCCCATCTGGCCACCTGTATGAAAACTTTCTGGAGACGCCCCTGTTTGTGAAAGGTTTCCAGTTCGCTGCTCCTGTACAGTTCAGCGTGATTTATTATAGTGCAGCTGGCTCTAAAGATGCATAATCTGGGCACGTGTCTCCTCAGAGAAGACATGCAATAAAACATGATTTTTTGAGGCTGAGTAGTGAAAGGAACTATGTCTCCCACTGAGTTAAAAAAAAAAGAGAAAAAAGTTTGGCCCGTTTTATTATCTCAGGAGAGTGATTATAAGAAAGGCTGTGGCATTTAAACAGGCTGTGTTTGCCAAACTGCTGACGCTGCGGAGATGGATATTCATTTTCTGATCAAATAAAAGAAACAGAAACATTCAAACATGTTTTGTCTCATCATCTCACTCGTGTTCTCGAGCAATGTCATAGCCTAAATGRCTTGCAATCTGAAACAACACTCAAGAAAGAAGCTTGAATATTCTAGGTGCATATTTTGTGGTTTACCCTTTTTTAACCAAAATGCTAAAGAAAATGCAACTCGTATTTTTGTGTCAAACTAAAAAGCACTTTTTGAAGCTTCAGCTTCAAAAAACGAGTTAAGTTTGCATTGTTGTAGCATAGGACACGAAGAGACGAGAAGGAAATGACTTGCTTCTCTGCGGTGATCTGGCAGTGAGGTGCAATTATTTCAAAGTAGAAGGAGGCTTTGAACTGTGTATAATTTATTCAGGCAAGCAGAACCAGGGTGTCTTT